AGACCAGATGTCTTTTTGATTTTCTTGCTACTCAAATAGAAACAAAAACAATAAATAGGCTTCTTATTTAGGATGCTACATTATTTAGCCTGTCAATACATTTCAGCAATAAATCAAAAGGGATTTTTCACATCTCTGGCTTTTGAGCTTCACTTAATATGTACTATTAATTTTGTGGGAGTCCCTGGATGGATATTATTCTCAAAGATTCAATACCCACTTCTTTAAGAATCAAACAATGTACATTAAGCAATTATTTACTCAGATGATTTGTATGTATTTTGTATCCCTAAGTCACTGATCTTATGATTAAATGGAGAAATAATCTATTTTTTCCCTTTGAGAGGTAAATAACCCATTCTTTACTATTAGAAATGCCAGGAAACAGTTCTGATCCTCACAAATGTGATGGGAAGGGAGATATCTCAAAAAAAAAAAATATTGAGCAGAAATGTAAAAATAAATAACGTAATGCATAATGAAATTGTGGAACTCATAGCCGCAGGATGTTGCAGAACCAAGGGAATAAAAAGCAATGAGAAATTAATTGAAGAAAGGTCCAGTGGAGGCCATTAAATGAACCTCTAGCTTGCAGATTCCTAGCATCTGGGGACATAGCCTAATTTAAGGCCAAGCAGTCAGTGTAAGAAATATCACATCTGTTACTGGTCACTGGAGGTAGCATGCTAGTCTACAATGGGTCTTGCTCTGACTTATGTTGCCTGATTTTAAATGGTAGGGAATATGAATGAGAAACAATAAATGATGATTTGTATGCAACTATTTAACCTTGTAAACTATTCCTTTACTTAGAGCAATGTGCTCACTTAGAAACCTTCCCCCAGCACATGTTGCTGAAAGCAAGCACCAGTGCAAAGACTTTTGTTTCCAAAAAGCTTTCTCCTTGCTTTGTTTCTTGGCTTCCAAACTCCTGACCCAGCACATTTACCAAAACTCTTCCTTCCTCCTGTTTTCTTCAAGCAGGAGCTGACTTCTTTTCTCATTATAGCTGAGTAAGCCTATAGGGACATGAAGAGCAGACTCGCCTGTATTTCTTGGGCACAGTATGACAGAGCTGCAGGAAGAACAGTCCGAATGCATTTTTCCTCTGTTATTACAGTTGCTGTCTGCACTGTGGATCTTTATTGCACAATCCCCACTTGTTCTGCATTCAAAACATCTCTGAGGACGCTGATGCAAATTCCACACATTAGTACACTGACAGGTATTTAATATGAGCAGAGAAAGCCAAGTGAAGATTGAAACCTTCAGTCCTTCAGACATGCACGTGAGCAGTAAAACTGCTAACTGTTATAAATGCCTGTTGACAGTGCAGCTGAACTCCAGGTTCACAGCAGTAAAAAGGCAGGAATTTTATGGCTTCTGTGGTCTGAGACCAGCCTGAAGGCAGCTTGTGATGGCACAGCGAGGCTAACATGGATAAGAAAAAGCTGGGGAGGAGCACCCGGCTGCTCTTGGCAGCTCTGGCTCGGTCCTGCCTGCTGGTCGTGGTGCCAACTGCTCACTGGGGTGACTGGGATAATTTCCCCTGCACACTGACCTGCTGTGCTGAGCCCTGGTGATAGAAACATGACTGTGATGACCAGCAATTTTGGGGACATGATACCCAGCAGTAACGCCTGGCTCCAGCACTGCTCTGCAAACCCGTGCCACAGCCAGATGAGGAACGCCTGGAAAACCCTGTGAGAGAGAGGCAGCTACAGTGCAGAAAGTGTTTTGTCCATCAATTACCCCCAATTCTTCATCCAGAAAGATTAAAGGCTGTTTGTTTGCCGTTATGTGTAATGTCATGCTCTGTTTGTCATCTTAATAGCTCTCCCGGGATCATAAGACATGCCTAAATGCTACAGTGCCACCTTTCAGAAAACAGCCTACTAAAACTAATTAATAGTGCACCCTAGTTAACACATGCAAACTTGGCATTATTAGTCTAATTAAAAGGATTTTAACAATCTAAGTTCCCGTCTCTCTCCCCCTCACAGATTCCAACATATGCAAGTCAAGTAAATTAAACCCATTAATCACCATTGGTGCAAATGATATAGGTTCCTGTAACGTGGGATCATCTCTGAAGAGAGACACTAACAGGCCTCATTATGTTTAATTTCGCTCCTTAGCAAAGGATAATAAATACAAATTGTAACATCACAATAAAATATTTAATTATTCACGAGTTTAGTAAGAAACATAATTAGCTTACTGGTATGTGTCTTCATTTGGGTGATAATGGATCCAATTTAGAAGCTTAACCATTTCAGGGTAAAGGTTGAAAATGAGAGCTTTTCCAGAACTTTATTGCTTAAGTGTAAAGAGAAAGAGCCCATTTGCACATTCCTCATTAGCCTCCCATGGAGGAAGCTGTGCGGATGTCCAAGCAATGTTCCCATGTAGCTGGAGTGATCCTGCTCATGAGCAGGCTTGGGCTGAGCTCTTCGGTCCTGAAAATGTGTGGGAAACTAGGGGCTGATGGTATTTCTAGAAGTAATATGGAAGCAGTCCCAAAGAACAACATGTTGCTGTTTTAAGTGTGGTACTGGTGGATCTTTAATTCACTGCATGCAGACGTTCTGTTTGCTTTTGCAGCTGATCTGAAATGCAGGGTTTCCCTTTCAGCTGCATGAATGATGAGCCACAGCTGCAGAGGACACACTGGAGCATCATGGGCAGCTTAGCCCATGTGGCATTTGTTTGCAACAGGGGATGGACTGCACAGAGAGCAGTTTTACCCAGTCCAGCTTGCCCCAGTCCATCTATGTCCCTGGCCATAGTAAAAATGTCCCAGGAGCTGCTGGTGGGTGGCCCTGGGGCTTGCAGGTGCGGTGCTGCTGCAGCTCAGGGGTGCAGGAGTTAACCTGGAGCAGTGCCTGGTGCAGGAGCTGCTGTGCCTGCAGCTCAGCCACTGCTGTTCGCTTTCACGGGATCCTAATTTTATTTATTTTATGTTCTCCTTATTGCACGTATTTAGGTGACAGATGTGTACGTTCCTTAATCTCTTCCTCGTTACCCTATGAAATTGTAGCTGCGTTTTGACAGCTTTCAGACAAAGATAAAAGAGGAGAGGAAAACTTCAAACATATGGAAATTTGCAGAGACCCCAGACTGACTCCTAGCAAGGAGATCATTGAATGCATAGTTAGAGGAATTAGTTAAGACTCGTGGCCTTTGAGTTCATGGTGTCTGAATGCAGATGTAAGAGAAAGCATTGCTCGAGCAGCCATGATCCCAGCTTTCGATTATGTATCATACTGGAGCGAAAGGAGCTTAGGAGTGGATTAATGTTCAGAACAGATGAATTTGAAAATGTATTTCCAATGCACTTGTCATGCACCTCTGCACTGTAACCTTTGCTTAAGGAGAAAGAAAAGAAAAAAAAAAAAAAAAAGAAACCACCGGGAAAAATTAAGATGTCTCAGCCCTTGCATGAAGATGTGAATAGTTCAAGTCAAACTTTCTTGGTAAGATAATTAACAGTGGAGGAAGTTGATTGGTTTGGCACACTGTAGTGTCTCACCACAAACGGAACAGGACCTTTATGCCAAGATTAAGAGAAACAAAGCCCTGTATTTTTGCTCAGTTTGAATGATTTGGGCATTACCATGCCCATTTTACTTACCCTATCATGATGTCTGCATCACCATTTCCCATTTCTAAATAGATTTCCAAAGAATCCCCCAAACTATGAATTATACTGTCTTTCTGGAGAAGGCATTTGCATTAGTGCAAGAGTGTGTGAATATAAATTCGCAGTCAACATTATAAATGCGGTATGAGTGTTATTTTTTCCTCCACTAATTCTTCTGAGCAAGATTTACTGTCTTGGTGAGCTTTTTTAAAATAAATTAAATATAACATGAACTAGATAGTTGTTCACATGGAGCTGGAGCTAGAAAGGCTCATTAATCACTAGTTTAAATCCCAGAGTATCCAGTCATCCTAATTAATGATTCAGTGCTGAACTTTACTCGTGCAGTGGCAGCAGAAGGGAGCTATTGCCATCTCGACTGATAGGGAGCGAGTCCCAGGAAGGGAGGCAGTGCTTGGGCTGGTGCTGAGGGCGTTCATGTCCCTTCCAGCACCAGGGCATCCGTGCTGCTCTCTGCCCCAGCCCATGCTGATGGAGACCCCCATGGAGACCCTCTGCTGTCCTGTGCTTGGGCTTCCACTTATCAAAGTCCATGAAGGGTGCTTGTACAAAGGTGCTCGCTGCTTATCCTGCCTGCAGTGCCCACCCCAGTGAGTTGGCTCACAGAGGGGTGTGGGGAAGAGTGCTGTGGGATGGCATCGAATGTATCTGGGATGAACTGCGGCTGGTTGCTCCTCCTCAAATAACAAAAATAAGGTGGAGTGAGAGATTTACAGGGATCCCACAGTCTGAAGCTAGGGCACCTGCAAAGGGGAAAGCTAAAATCTGTCTCTAGTGGGTGCTTCTGCTGAAATTCAGATAAAATTAAGCATATTTAGGGGGGAGGAGGGTTTCCAGCCCCCTGGGTTCCTGATAAGCTGCTGGCTAAGGAGATCCTTCTGGCGGAGATGCAGGACCCAGGAAGGGGAATATTTCATGCCAGGGCTGTGCACGGAGCCTGGGGTCTCCTCTCAGTCCTCTCTGGGGTCCTGGCCCTTCACACACAGGGACAGAGCTGCTTCTGCACAAACCAGGGTGTAACGAAGGGCTGCAGAGCTGAAACTCGCTCTCACAATAGGAGAATCATAAATCATAATCCTATTATTTAAATGAATTTACCTGCTCTTTAGGGCTACATTAGTTCTGAATTTCATTTATCTGTGTTTCTAAGGCAAATAATTCACACTATTTCAGTGTTGTTTTTTTTTTTTGTTTTTTGTTTTTTGCCGTAATGTTTTAGCATGTAAATGCTTTGCATTCCTCACAAATGCAAGGAGAAGGACATCATGTTTTGGTTTTGCTATGGGTGCTTTGTTTATTACGTGCTGGCAGGAAACTCCACTAGGGAAGTGTTTCATCATGCCTTGGAGAATAAGAGACGCTCAGGCCCTAGATCAGCAAAGCAATGAATGACAGACTTTTTGCTACAGTCCTACTGCCTGGAAATCAATTAATTAGATGGTCTTGATGGGCTGAACTTCGTTGACATCAGGGACAGTAAGTTTTTTGGGTTTTTGTTTTTTTTTTTACATGGAAGTGCTTACAGGAGGAAGTTATCTTGAGTGTAGTCATAGTGCACAGATATTCTGCAGAGAATGGGTTTTGCTGTTGCGTCGTCAATTTGGACTTAAAGCTTTTGTCAGCTGTTGGTGTAATTAACTTAGGGCTGTGCTCACACGATTCCAAATGCAGAATCTGGGCCTTTGCAGCAGCAACTAATTTTCATTCTTGTTGATTTTTAGCCTGGCTGGTGGGAGCTGGGAAATTTTAGCATATGTAATTTGAATTATTTCATGAAACATTTAACAAGGGCCTATTTCATTCTTCACTAAAGCAAGTTGATATAAGAAGGATGATGTTATGGTTAATGTAAATCATAATTATTACCAGGTGCATCACTGAACTGGGAAATTGTGCTAAAAATGTAAGTTTTGCTCCATTTCATATTGAAAAATTACTTTGCAGCCTGACAGCCATTAATCTCTGTTACAGGAATGTTATTCTTTATTTTGGTAAATTACAGAGCTAAGACATAACAAGGCATAAATTATCCGGCCGCAGGAGGCCACTTCACTGAGCTGAGTGGGGCTCGAGCAGTCCCTGCTGGGGACAAGCACCAAGCCCCCTACACCTCCTACACCCCAGGGATGCTTCAGCTGCCCGTGCAGCCAAGCCTGCAGCAAATCCTCCCCTAAACCTTGTCTTCTGAACATATCTGAAATTGTGGTGGCTGTAACAGCACTCAGCATCTTCTCAGCTCCCACAAGGCTGTACCCTGGAGAGATTTGTGAGCTGGGTGCTCCTCATCTGGTGGCATTGCCGAACACTCTCTAAAAATAGTGGCTTTTTTGTTTTGTTTTCTCATAAAACAGGGCTTCAGGAAGAGTCCCCTTTTTATCCTATAGCTTCATTCCTAAAGCAGGGTGGGATATCTGGGTTCAGTGCCCAGCTCTGCAAGAGGGGATGCAGAGCTCTGTGGCTTTATTCAGCCCCGGGGGGAGTGGCTAACCCAGGACAGAAGCTCAAGATCCTCTGCCTTGTACCAGCAATGCTTTCCCAGATGTGATCAGCTCCCTGTTGGGTCTGGCAGATGGGGAAATGGCATGGCGAGTAGGACTCTGATAGTACTGCGTGCAGTAAGGTCTCTTCTTCTGACAGGTCGACCACTTGTTGGAAGAAACATTTATTCTAAAACACCTAAACTTCCTCAGAGCAAGGTGCTAAGTTTATGCCATAATATCAGAGGTATAGAGCTGCAGTATTTTTTGTTTTACAAGCAGAAGAGGCAATTAAACCTGAGTTCCCCACTGTTGAATTATTCAACACAAAGGTACAGCACCTTTTTAGTTCTTTGAGCCGATTCTCCACTAGACTTTTCATGTGTTTCCAGCAAAATAGTTTTGGTCTGTCCAACTGGATTTGCTGTGACTCCAGCTTCTAGGACACTGACTCCACGAGTAGGTGGTAGCATGAAATTCAGAATGCTCTTTACTTTTGATAGACGATGTCGTTCTGCATACAAATGATACCTCCTCTCCTCCTCTCAGCCACTTTGGGCAGTTACTCCAAATCAATGTAATCCTTGTCACTCTCCACAATTTTGTTTTAAAAGACATCACACACCAAGCTTAAGGCTAAGCAGGTGAGGCACACATGCTCTCTGGGCATGCCTGTATCTCCAATTTTGCTGAAGCTCAGCTCCTTGTACTCAAATCCCAGTCCAAAAGCCCTAAGGGCCTCTCCAAACCTTTTTATTGATTGTGTGAGCAATATTTCTCAGAATACTCTTTATTAAATCCACCCTCACATTAGTTCTGCACACTTCATCTTTGACAACTTCCCAGGCCAGGACTAATGGTTTTGACAATGTAATGGACAGCCAGACCAGAGAGAAGTCTTTCTGCCTTTAGTGGCCATTTCAATTTTTGTTATGCCACCCTTAGGCTGCTGCGGACAGCAGACAGGGGCTGGAGCAGGCACATCTGTGTCTTGGCACCTCTGATCTCTTTGCTTGCAAAAAGCAATATTGAATGCATTAGAAGTGCGCAGCGAAGCTGAAGTGGAGCCTGCGAAAATGATGATAACAGCAAATGGGAAAACATTTAATTCTGGATGCGTTGGTTGGCTTGACAGGACTGCGAGAATTTTGCCCAACCCAAAACGCGTGCCCTGGTAGCACAGAGTCGATGAAAGAGACCCGAGGCAGCTGCACCGCCATGCTGGTGTTCAAAGAAATTGCAGCAACAGATGCAGGTCATGTTGCACTGTGGGCTTTGCTAGAAGCATGTGAGAGCAATCGTGAGCTGCCTTTTACCTAAGCAAGCAAGAAGTGAAATTAAATACATTTCCCTAAAGCTGGTGACTCAGCCCAAATGATGCTCACAGCCTCATTAGTAACTTACCTGATCAAATCTGATTTGCATAGGGATGCAATTACATGCAGCTATCTTCAAATGATTACTAAAAGAAATTATTGGCGTATTCCTTAATTTAGCATCTGGTGTATTATTTTATAGAAGGCTTATTTCTCCTGGAAATGCACTAAAGTGAAAGGGGTTTTAGTAGGACCGTTACCATTTGATAGCAGGGAATGCTGCTCCACAAACATTTCTCTACGTGCCATTTTCTGGGCTCCTAAAAGAAATGTCGTGTCTCAGCCAGGAAGAACAGATGTGAGAAAATTACAAAATGGTTGCCAAGCATTATGAATTAACTCTGCTGGTCAGACGTTCAGCACCCCTGGTTGATTGTGTGCTAATCTAGGAGTGGAGTAAATCAATCATTATCCACGCTCAGGATATCTAGGTGGACCATAGGAAGCCACTTGATTAATACGCACATCCTCACCTAGATGATGGCTAGCTCTGCAATTCATGGTTGAACTGAAGGCGGAAAGAATTGCTTTTTAATAACCTTGATAATAACCCTTCTGATAGCTCCATTTAGGCATCATTATTGAATAATAGCCTGTGCATGTCATCGAGTCACTCTGACATTAGAACAGAAAATACACAAATACCCTGGTCATGCCACTGAACAAAACAAGAGACAAATCCTCCACTGGAGTAAATTATCAGAGCTGCCTTGGTATTAACAGAGCGGAATAGAATTTCTAAAGAGACACCAAACTAAAATGATGCTTAACCGTTTGATGTAGTGCGTATAATAATGATACTAAAAATAAAAAGTATTTGTTTTAAAGCCTTAACTGTCTCCATGCTGGCATTCTGGCATTGCACATCACCTCAGCTCATGTGCCCCGTGGACCTGTGGTGGACTTGAAGCTGTTGCAGGGTGACGGGGATGGATGGACACTGCAGCCAGCAGGGACCTGTGCCTTGCAGACCGTAGAGGTGTGGGGAGGTGTCGGTGCTGCTGCAGAATGGAGCTCCAAAATCTTACCTTGCAGCGATTTGTCACAGCTGCTGTTGTGTCAAAGGACAGCAAGTCCAGAAAGAACATTGCTGCACACACCAACAGCAACAGAGCAGAATATTCCTGCAGGACACCTTACAGAGCGAGCTGTGCTCCTTATCAGAACACATTGCTGCACACTCAGCAGTGCCAGCATCAGTAAAACCACAGCGAATTATATCAGCTTCCTTTTGTCTGATGGCATCCTTCATCTGAGCTTGCTCCTAGCACTGGAATATCTCTGCTGGTTCAGGGGGAAGAGGAGTGTGTCCAGCATGAAGCTACAGATACAACTTGTGTGGTTAGCATAACCTCAGCCATGCATGGCATGTGAAATATCCATTTCATGGAGGCTTTTGTTTATTTTTTCCTCCATTAAACCAATTACGAGCTAATCATTTTGTATAAAATACCACAATATGACATTATTAGATCTGATCCATGCAAACCCTTTATGTATAACAGCCTCGGTTTAATTTCATCTGTAGGATTAACAAACAAATCTAACAGCAAAACTCGCGTTAATGGGAGCAAAAGGAATGCAAATAAATGTCACCCATATTCAATACAGTGTTAAATGATGCAAGTTTTATTTAAATATGCAGTTCTGGTGACGTGAACCTAGAAGGAATCTTCATGCTGTATGGTCAGCAAGGAGAAGTAAAATTATACAATCACATTATTGGCTTTTTTTTTTTTTGTCAAGTTAACACCCTGTGGTCCCACTTGATATTCTTTCCTTCTTTTTTTTCTGTTGCAGCTGTATTAAGTGTGGTATCTGCTTTACGCGTGCACCCGTTCCACTCTAGGCACCAGCACTAAGCACTCCCTGGCTGGGCACGGAGGTGAGACCTGGGTGTGCAGCACTGGATCCGTGACAAAAGGAGAGAACAAAGAGGGGAAAATCCCTGCTGATTCATGAGCCATCGTCTGCACTGCCTGAGCCTCCTGCTTGGTTACGGCAGCTCATGGCTCTCAGGTCCCCCTATGCCGATGGATGCTCCTGCAGAGGCTGGGCAACAGATGGCAAAAAAAGTCAAGGAGGTGGTGATGGAAAAGGATAATATTCAAATCATTTTACCTCATCCAGGTGCGTCTAACCAGGACAATCTATAACCTTCCTGATTTAGAAAATGGAAGGTATATTTGCTGCAAGTTTTGTCCCCTGACTTGTTCCCTATAGGTATGCCATAAAGTGGAGGTGACAAAGCAATGCTGCAGAAGGAGCAGACTTCTTGAAGGAGGATTTGAAAGAGCATTTGCAGGGTAAACATTTCTTATTGTCCTCATTCAGAGAGCTCTGGCTCAGTTAGGGATGTACAGTAACAATTTTTCTTTTGCCTCTAAGTCCTTCACAACTTGCTATAGTCTGGTGCTTTGCAAATGCCAGTGAAAAACTCCCCACAGAATCAAATCCCAGCCTTGCTAAATCAGAGATATAAAATGAAAGGTGCACTATAAATCACAGCTTGCTTTCATAGCTCCATTCAGATGTGAAGAATATGTTGGAGCCCCTATATTAAGCAATAGAGCTATGCTGAACAGCTCCAATTCTGCATCAGCTGCCAAAAAAAAAAAAAAAGAAAAAAAAAAAAAAAGAGATTTATCTTAAATCTTTACATATAGAAAAACTGATACTGATTCCCAGCTGGCTTTTTCTCCTACATTTACTACTTACAGCAGAAAGGAATATTTTGAGCTGACAAGCCAGTTATCCATCAATTAGCTGATGGATGTGCTCAATGCCATGCGTCGTGCAGTCAAAGAAATGGTCACAGCCCTGGAAATGTGAGTTCACACTGTCCTGCCCTCGTTATTCTAAGTGGGTGTGAGGAGTCACCCAAGGGTAGATACAAATTTTGGTGAATAATGTCCCCCCAGGCTTCTCTCATTTATTACTGTGGTGGTTTTGAGGTGTTGATAGAAGACGTGCAACCTTGAAAGACAAGAGTATGACAGGTCCTGACAGGGCACACGGGAGCTCAGGGGAATCTGCTGAGTTTCTCCCTCTGATGGATGCTTGGAAGCACTTCTTGAATGTAACCACAAGGTAGCAGAGAAACAACTGCCTGGTGGCTTAGCGAGGAGTGTTAATGAGGGCTCTGCACACAAGTGGAGGAGTCTTTGACAAAGTTCAAGTGGGATGTTTTTTTCTGCTGGAGTGGAGAGTAATTTTTATCTGAAGAGCAATGCAGGTAGGAGAGGATTTGAAGTATGAGCGTGCCTGATTTCCTGGGCTGAGCACAGCCCACTGTGGGCATTCGCTGCCCTGAAAGCATTTGTGCACAGACCTCATTGTCACCTCGGTGTGACAGCTGTGAAATGTGTCTGGTCGGGAGGGTGGAGGGCTCCTGGATCTGCTAGAGCTGGCTTCATAGGGTTCCATGAAAGCAAAGGAGGTAGGAAATGTGCAGCACCTGGAGAATGAAAGCAGGGACAAGAGGAGCTCTGGTACCTGCAGGATCTGCTCCTCCTTTTCCCACTGTAGCATGATGTAAAGAAAACGCAACATAGGGTGCTGAGGATGAATAATTTAGGGGGAAACAAGGAGCATAAAATCAGTGAGCTGTGAATATGTAGCCAAGACAGCGACTTGAAGCTCTGTCTGTGCATCATTTTCAAGGCAATATTGCCTTGTAAACTCTTATCTCCAGATGTTAATGCTTAATGGGAGCAAAGCTGGAGCTTGGCTTCCTCAACAGTTTGTACAATAGCAGCCTCATGTTCCCATCACCCCTCCATTGTTTTTAGCACATAAAATGCAAAATTGCAATTTCCCCGCTTTATTCTTCTCCTGTGCCCTCTTCTCATTTAAAAGAGTTATCACCCCCAAAAAACATTAAGCAATGCTTTTTTTGTTGTTCTTATTATGGGAATCTGCAGTTTTACTGCAATGGGCAACAGTTCTCAGAGACCTGAGCTAGCCTCTGACTCTATGCCAGTTCTTTATGGGTCCAAATTATCGATCCACTTTGACTTCCAGAGGCCAGATCCATACCTGGCAGAAGCTCTGCAACTGCTCAACATGCGCTGAGGCTGCTCTGGTGCTCGCTGGCCATCCTCAGGTCCATTGCTGCTGCTCTGTTGCTGCAGGAGCAACAGAAACCTGTCCTGCAAGAAGACTGCTGTTGTTACAGCTATTTTTGCATACAGCCAGATACACAAAAGGAAACCCCCTTTTTATTTCCATGTTTCTATTTTCAATGAAGATTTTCAAGTTTCAATGAGAGACAAGCACCGGTGTGTAGAAATGCCTCTAATCCAGCCCTACCAGGAGGAGTCCCTAAAGTTCCCTCCCTCATTACTTCGTGTGCACCTGGGAGAAAATTGCCTCTCCCTGCTGGTGGCAGCTGCTGAATTGGAGGGGAGGAGGATTAATAAAAAGAAGTACACAAGAAATTAGGAGAGGATGGACAAAGCTGTGTAACATTCAGCGGAAGTGATTCAGAATTGATCCACATTCCCCAGGTTTGGGAAGAGCAGAAGCAGGTAGTCAGTAAATGCTCCTTCCCTCTGAAGGGCTAGCAGTGGTGGTGGCAGGAAAGTGGTGGCACGACGGGAGCTGGGTGGCTGGTGGCAGCATGGTGTGCTGCTTGCTGCCTGCCAGGAGGGACATCTGCTGTGCCCTGAGCAGGGCAGGGAGCTGCAGCTCCCCTCCTTTGCATTTGGGTTTCCCTTAGGTGAGATCTGCCTTCCCCCAACTCCCCCAGCGCTGATGATGCTGCCGGAGGAACAGAGCGAGGCACATCTGGAGCAGTGCTGCAGGGGATGGTGGTTTCATGCCACGTGGCTCTGACCTTTTCAGTATTCCATATTTTCACGGACTGGCCATTTCTCCTTTTTTTTCTAGGCTGCAAACAAGGAAGCAGTGAAATAAGTGGCCAAAATACACAGTGAGTTATGTAGGTGAAGGCAAATTTATATTGAATTTATGAGAGATAGAAGTTTGCTACCTTGTTCCACCCATAAAAATTATAAAGAGAACAGAAAGTGACATAAAATCAATCCATTTCCATGACAAAGCTCATTATGAGCAGAGAAAATATAGTCCCATATTAACTTGTTCTCATTACTGTTCTAAGATTTATCATGTCAAGTGCAATGTGCAAGGGAGGAAAGGAAAACATTCCCTGCCCTTACCTTAAAAAGGCAAACAGATGAATAAGCCAAATTATCCTCATGATGTTCAGCAAGCATGTATTTCCTGAGCCTCAGAAGGGGCAGGATTAGCTCAGAAGGTGTGACTTGGAGGAGATCATCCAGGCTGGGTGCTCTGGGGCCAGAGCAGGTCGCTGTGCCCATGCTGCTGCTAGCCTGGATCTGCCCCAGGTGCCCAGGAGAAGCAGCATGCCAGGGGGAGATGCTACTCGAAGACTTGACAGGTGAAGGAAACCACTCTGAGTCTATAACATCATATCTCATCTAAAGGAAGTGTGTCATGGCTATTAAAATGCATATTTTTTATTGTTATTATTTTTAATACTTGTGAACAGGTAACATTAAAGCAGATCATGTTTCGGTTTTTGCTCTATGTCATTTATCCTAAAATGCTCATTGAACACGGCTGCTACCTGTTTCCTGGCAATTCACTGTAAATGTAGAAATCCAAAGGCACATCTTGGAGTGGGGAGCTTGGATGATGGAAGAAGAGCAGACCTGAGGGGCTCGGAGCCAGGGAAGGGAATCGCTGTGCTCAGGCCAGCCCAGTTCAGCGGTTTTGGCTGACTGTGGTATTTTGCCTGCAGGTCTCATTCTCAACTCAGCCCCACCAGAGCAACAAGTCCCAGGAGAGAGGACTTTGCAGACAGACCCATGGCTGCATTTGCAGGGCAAGCCCTCAGCCCCGACTGTGCGGGGCCACTCGGGACTCTGCTCTCATCCTCGCATGCGTTGCTCCCCCCTGCACCGCCGAGCAGATGTGGCTCATTTTGGAGCTGACATCTGGTGCTGTCAGAGTACATAACTGGTACTGATTTGCAATGCAAGCTGAGTACTCTGACCTTTTTGGTGCATTCAGAAGAGATGATAGTCTGTGTGCGTTATATAGATAAACTAGTCAGCGTGTGGTGTGCGCGTTTGTTTGCAAGGGTGACAAGGAAAGAGTAAATACACAGAGAGAAACTTGCCAGATTTGGCCAATTCTGGCCAATGTAAAACCTCAGCTGAGCAAGGGATGATGAATAGATGGAGGGCATAATGCCCTGATCAACACAAGCATTTCCTCAAATCAGGATTGCAAACACTGCTTCTCAGTTCCCTCAGCCCCTCCTGCCCATGCCAGCATCATTCCCAGTCCTCTCCCCCAGCCAGCACAGCAGTACTGTGATGCTTTAATAGGGTGGCTGCCTTCATCCAAAATCTGGGAGGGCATGGTGAGGTATCACTGTGGCTGGGAGAGTGGGAACCATGACAGGGGTGTCTGTTTCACAGCACAATTCAATGCCAGAAATCCTAGCTTAGCACCAACTTGAACGTGAACTTAGAGCACTGCATCACCCTACAGAAAGGGTAAATCCAGTCTGAAAGGAATCTCCCAGGACAGGTTAGGATCTCCCATATGTAGCTCTGGGATTTATGCTGTCATACAGCTGGAATTGCCTGGGGACTTTGCTGAAGAAGCCAGCTCAAAATCTTCCAGAGATCTTTAGGACAGAGGGCTCCAATCTTGCACTTTTTCTGAAGGCGCCATGGGGACAGGCACGAGGTGACATCCTGGGTTCCCAAACTAATGGTAGAGCTGGGTCTGCAGCTGCCCTGTGAGCCCAACGGGTAAAACACCTCCCATGCCTCAGGAATTAAAGCAAAGGTTTCCCCACTGCTACCTCCCCAGCCATGTCCTCTGAAGATCTGGCTTTCAGTGATGAGCAGCATAACAAATCAGTACAATGGCCTTAAGATCAATGACAAATAGAAGCTGATTTCTTACAGTTCTGTACTCTGCAGCTTGGATTTCTTGGTAGCCAGGAAGGTAGCAGACCCCAGGGGACATGGTCCTGGGGCTGGGGTGCTGGTAACACCCTCTCCCCATGTGGATTTTTCCATAGCTGATGGGAGATGAGGTCCAAATGCATCCCACCCGCAGGGATGGCAGCCTGCTTTGTGACAGTCCCAGGAGTTCAGTCCCCTCCAAAACTGCTGTTCCCTTTTGAAATCAGCAGAGACAGCCGAATGGATTCAAAAATCACTGGGGGAGAACACAGAGACACACAATGGTACACGGAGTATGAGTGTGTGAACCCCCTTGCTTGAGAAACTGGGCTAAAAATAATAAAATGCAAAAGCCTTGTTATTATCACAGCTGAACAGTCCTCTCTGACATATTCTATTAAGCCGACTCTGTTTCACTCAGTTTTTGCATTACCGGCTCTCCTTTCTGGGAATGACCTTTTCCACGCCAGGCTTTGTAAAGCTATTGCCATTCTTCATTTAGAAATTTGCTAAAGTGTGTTTGCAGAAACCATAGATTTTATTATTTTTTATTTTCTGATGAATCTTCCCTTTTTTGGGAGAAAGGAACAAAGAATTATGCTGCTGACCTTTCTTTGTATTTAACAGGATCTTTTTCCAAGTTGAAAATCATGCTATTGACTCTCAGCAGGAGTAGTTCTCCCTATCCTGTGTCACTGTATTTATTCAAGGGTTTCTTAAGTACATCTGTAATGTTATTTATATTAAAACATGGTTTGTGGGGAGACCTCACTTTCTCATTCCACTTAACAAATAATTGAGAAACTAAAATAATATTATTAAAAAATAATAAAGAGAAAGGGACAGGGTAATAGAGGGAGGTGCTGGGGGATTTGGCATCCTTTATTTTGATGAGACAAAACATCTCATTTGGTAAGCTGTATTTCAGTTGTTTTGCAGCTTTTGGGGTATAACTCAGGCTGCCCATCTCTCATGCAGCTCTGCTGTCTCCCCAGGGAGCAGGCAGGGAGCAGGGCTCTGGTGTCCCGTGGCGGTGGCTTAATTCAGCATCTTGCTGCTGTGCTGCACTTGTGCTCCTAATGGGTGCTCACACCAGCACGGCTCTGCAAGAGACCAGGCGGTAAATAAGATTTAGTCTGACCTCCCTGCTGTATGAAAGGTTTGTTTGATGGCTGCATGTACACAAAATACTCAGTTTCATGCAGTCTTACTGCCTGCTCTGGTGGTGTTACTTATTACTTAGGTCATGGGGGTTTGTTGGCGTAGGATTTTATTTGCTGCATAAAAAAGCTACCAAAGTGTAACCTTTACCACTAAACAAGTTATTCCAGACACTCTGTCACTTGTCTGAGACGTGTTACCCTTGCAATGCAGTACCTAAGCCTTGGTAATACATAACCTGCACCTGCTGTGCTGAGCAGTGCCATTCATTAGTGCTCTGCGATCCCATCCAGCAGCTCCTGTCCACCCCAAGCACGTCCCTTTCCCCGACCTGCCAAGGCTCTACAAGAGCAATGCTGTGGGCTGGTGACTTCGGTTCCATCTGAGATGTCATGTTGTGGGTCTAGCGAGGAGCTCGTGCCCAATTGCAATTTGCTTTCTCCTTTACAACCTGGCTCCTGGGAGTCTCTCCAGTTACATCCTGCATCATATCAGCCATCGCAGGGATTCACTGCTCCTGATGGCTGCACGCAGGGTGGGGAAAGATCGCCGTAAATCACCGCTTCCCATCTCGCCTGGCTACGTCTGTGATGGGTTTTCATTTGCTCAGCATCTGGCTCACATCTCACAGCACTGAGCAGACTGAGGCATTGGGTTCAGCTCTTCAGCCCAGTATTCTGCATTGCCTTGTGCTGCAGCCCTTTGCCATGCAATGATGCCTCCTGATTGCCATGGCTTACTTGCAGAGCAGCTGTTGTGGTGCTAGAACTAACTGAGGGCTGTTTCACAGCAGAGCAGTGGCACAGATAAGTCCCCAAAACTTCAGCAGCATGCAGGTGCACAGGAGGACCAGCTCAGCCTGAGCATCCCGGCTGGCTTGAGACAAATCTCTTTTGTTCGCCCCCCTTTGTTTCATCCAGCAAATACAAACTGAATCCCCCAAGGACCGGAGCATTTAGACTTAGCATATTTTTGTTTGTTCAGAGCACATCAGTCTGTTGTTCTTCCTGGCTAATCAGATATAGCGGAAGCTAAAACAATCTCAGTTTGTTGTTCCATTTTATTCTATACATAATCACTGTTTCTCGTTTGCCTCTAAATAGCTGCATAAATACACATTAAATGCAGTGACATCCCTTTTGGGACTCACTCCAGGGTTTCTTGGTTATTTTCTCTCTTTGAAAGAGATTAGGTTCTCAGATACTGCCATGTTTCCTGCAAAATCCTCCATGGATCTGTGCATGCAGCAATGGATATTATAATGCTGGGGCCATCCTTGTACCCTGCAGCCACGAGGGTTTTGGGGACACTAAGTGAATGCATAATAATACCATGTGCCCACATGCCATGTGTGAAGGCAGAAAACAGCTCTCAGTCTGGGCGGCAATGAAAGCTATTTTGGACCGACGCTTCTTGCACTGCTCCCTATTCTCTCAGCTTTCTTTCCTCCCAGAGGATGAGAGATGTGCAGGAAGAGGAAAATTTTTAGCACCTGAAGAGAGAGGCTTTCAGACTCACCTGTGTGGATACTTGCACAGCATCATTTCCAAACCAGGGCCACCCCACAGTGATCCCCAGCACTTTGGGGGCTGCCAGGTCTGGTAGCTGAGAGCAGGAGGATGATGAGCCCACATCTGTCCTCAGAGTCCCACACAGTCACCCCTGTTTATTGATTCGGGCTGGAGGGCCACACTAGCAGCCTCACCACTCTAAGCCAACACATAGATAGGTCTTTGCAGGGTGGCAAAGTGAGAACTGCTATATATTCTTTCCAGGAGAGATGGTAGTTAACTATAAATATTTATTGCAGATTAACTGTTTCACTTAAGGCACGCATCCAAAACATAGGCATATCGTGTCAGATGCACTTGCTTATGTAAATATATGGACACTAAAGCATGCAAATTAAAGCTGGAGCTCTTCATTTCAGAAGACAATCCCAGTCATAAATAAAGCACTGGGACAAATCCTGGCAGTGAACACAGTTCTGCCTGGGACAGATTTATATCTGAGGTCCTGTGACACAGATGAAGTTGGAGCTCAGTTCCTGGTGCATCGCTCCCCTTTGTATTCTGTGTGCTTCCCACATCTCCACAATAATTTGTCATGGCTGGTTATGTCAGCTCATCATGTCCAATATACTTCCGAGGTGCAAAATGAGAGGCGATTAGTGAAGTTCTGAAATATCTGAAACATGGAAACTACGAGCTAAACTGCAGCATTAAAACCTCAGCAAGAAACTAAGCAGGAGCTGAAACTGCTCTGCTCCAGGGGAAGCAGCTGCTGTGCTGCTGCTTTTGAAGGGCCACCATGTGCCACTTTGGCAATGCAGCAGCACGGCATCACCATCCCCTGGTGCCCCCAGTTAGCACACCAGTAACTGTGGTGGTGTGGGCACGGATGGTGGATGGATGCCCACCAGCCCTACCCCAAGCGTATGGGACCGCACTCGGCTTGGCAATGCTGCTCCCATCTCTGAGAGCACACTGGGGTTTGGGATGGGATTACGCTTGTAGAAAAGGTGAACATCCTTTCCCTTTGTCTGTTTTTTTCTCCCCCCTCCCAGATTTGCACATAGCTAAGGAAAAGTTGCTACTTAAGGACATGGTGTGAGCACAGCGCTAGTGGGCACATCCAGGTCGTAGCGGTGATATGACAGCGGGTAGGAGTGTGGGGGAAAAAATGAAGTCTAAAAGATTATAATATAGTATTACCAATAGAGTACAGTATAAAAATTAGCTAAACCAAAGCAAATAGTCTGCAGAAGTGGCAGGAGTTTTGCACTTCTGCAGCAGCAAAACTCCCCAAATTTCTCTACAAGGAAACGTATCCCCCGCGCTGCCGGCTAATTAATGGCAAAGAAGTTGAAAACGATGAGAGAAAGCGCAGGGGAATGTGAAAATGCCCTGCAACGAACACGCACGTTCCAAAGAAAAATAACTTGACAGAAAAACCAGCTGTGAAAAGCCGGAGGTCGGGCGGCGAGGGAGGCGAGCACGGCGACGGCGCCGGGCGCAGCGCTGAAGAGCGGGGCAAGGCTGATCCCTAGCGGCTGCCGCCAGCGCTGCTCCTCCGGCCGGCTCAGGGCAGCACATCCCTTGTCCCTGGGAGAAAAAAAAAAGGAAAAAAAAGAAAAAAAAAAAAAGTTAAAATGCTCCTTCTGCTCTGGGGAGCGAGGGGTATCCTGCAGGGGTGCCACTCCCTGCACCGCAGCTCGCAGCAGGGGCGAAATTTGCCCTGATTTTTTTTTTTCTTTTACCTCTTCATAACACATTGAAATGTACTGCCTCTTGCTAAGAAGCTATTTGTGAGTTAACACTGCCACTAATATGTGTTTCATGGAGCAGACTTCTTTCCTGAGTACTGATCTTCTTAACAAAACTTGTACTATAAAATTGAAAGCACTGATGGTAGATCTTTCTAGATTTTTAAAGTTTTCTTTGCAAGGGGAAAAACAAACAAACAAACAAAAAAAAAATTGTTAACTGTTTCTGTTTTAGCCCCTTCAGTACTTGGTTTCTCTTTATTTTCGCTGAGGTGTCCAATCTTTTTCCTCCTGTAACTGTTGAAAGGAGAACACGTGGAAAAAAGAGAGGTCAAGCCAGATGTGAAGCATTTTCCATTTGTTCAAAGTAGATCTCTTTCTAGTTCTAACAAAAGAAAGAAAAAGAAGTGGCCTTTCGTGAATATTGTTTACTAGGCTGTTAACACACAGAGATACACACACCATTATTTCTTTGGCAGATAAAGAGTGGTTCTTCTCCAGCAGGACAATTAAACTCATTGCTAAGCAAATCAAGAGCTCCTCCACCTCCAGAGAGCAAAGCCCTTCTTGCTCGGATGTGCCCCAGTCTGTGAGCACCTGCCTTACATTTTCTGGGCTCTCAGCTGGGGTTGCTTAAGGGGCAGCAGAGAATATCAGCCTTCTTCCAGACACTGCTGCTAGGAAAGAAAGAGTCCAAAACATATTTCAAAAAGTAGATTATTTTGCCCTTTTGTTCAGGAAGCTGTATATACAGACATACAGACATGTGTTTTATATGTATATTCGAAGAAGCATGAATGGTTGAGTGACATCCAGAAAATTATACATAAATATTATTTATTTACATACAAAAATATATAAAATATTCCATATATGAAAAAATAATAATCATTCTAATTTCTCACTCATCACCTATTTTTGTCTACAATACCTTCACATTATGAAATTATAATTTATAATTTATATAATTTTATAATTATAATTGAAACCAATGGAATAAAATAGTTATCTCACAAGGCTGGCATAACTCAGGAGATGTTAGGAAATCTTATAACCAAAATAGATTAAAAATGACCAATACTTTATGTACTTTGAAGGAATTTGTAATGGTGGAATTTACAGAAGTCCTTTTGCCCAGGGTTGTGAGGTACCACCTAAAGCCACTAATTTTTTCTCAAGCTGCCAGGCAGATTGTGAATATACAACTGTGTTTCTCAGTCACTGTACGTATTTGTGTTTTGCACAACGCTGACAAGTGACTGAACCAGAAACCACACATTCAGAGAATCACTTGTGATTATGTATGTTCACATATACTTAATCTAAGG